AAAAAAAAAAAAAAAAAAAAAATGCCCCACGCCCCCGAGAAAACCAGCCTTGAAGAAACTAGCAAACTATTCCTCATTAGTTTTGGGCAGAAAATATTACTTCAAAAAAATAGCTTCAAGAATCGATTAGTCGACTTAAAATTCAGGATCTCATAATCTACATTCTTCACACAAGAAGTCAAGAGATTCTAATATTCCCTAATCCATAACAAGGATCTTCATGAAATTTTTCTTCTCTTCATCCACTGTAATAAGCAATATATTCAAACAGAACTTTGTAAAATTGATATCTGATAATAGACCCATATACAGTAGCTTTACATACATTTCTGCACTCATACCTTGCTCAATCTTCAGAACCTGAGATATAAAGCAGACTGAGGTTATGACATTCTTGTTTCATATACATTTATGTCCAAACATTGAAGTATTCACAGTATAATTATTGCTCAACCACAATATCATTAATCCATAGTACCTTAAACACTTTGATGAGAAGAAAGCATAAGATGGAAGAGAAGATCATGTGAAGTAATGTCAAAGCAAGAGGATAAGGAAAATTGATTTCCTTCGAGGACAACACCCACTGCAGCAAAAAACGAGAATAAAAGAAGTTTGTCAGAACAACTTCTGAAATGAATATTCATGTTATAGGAATAGAAAAAAGCGATCATTGTATTTTTTTGAGAGTTCAACATAGCGTAGGGAGATTCAAACCCCTGACCTCTTAGTCGAGAACATATGTCTTAACTAGTATACTTTCGTTATAAAAAAAATAATCACGGTACAAATTAGAATGATAAATAAGTTCATCATTAAATTTGTTTATTCTCTTCCACAGGTGACAAAAAGGTTAATGCAGGCCGTTTCCTTGAATTTTTTGTTTGATTGTTGACATGGGAAAGCTACTCGATTCATTCAAGCTCCTAGAAGAAGAAGAAAAAACATCCTAAAATACTTTGATAATTACGTAATGAAACCTAAGAATTTAAGACAAAACTGTTCAAAATGAATCCAATCGCCCTAGCTCAAACTTCTCTTTTCCAATTTCATCGCACGTTCAAATCACCATTGTACGAGACTGGCTAAAAATGGAAAAAAATGGAACTAATGCCGCCAAATTCAAACCTGAACCCAGCCAACAGCCAACTAATAAACATAAACCTAGTAACAAACATCCAATCCCAAAATTCAACAGTCGATAGAACCACAGTCAAGATTAAAAGCCCGCACACAACAACGATTACTTCTTCAAGAGCAAAATCCAGAACGAACTAGATCTATTACACATTTGACGAAAAGTAATTTCAACAACAACTGCAAGGAAACGCGAGAGAAAAACAAACAAACAAATCGAAAGGAAACGAGAGAATTACCTTGTTGAAGAAGATCTGACCACTGGAGAGAGAAATATAGAGAAGAAGATAAGCGTAAGTGAGCACCTCCCCTTTGAAGAAGCCTTCCACTCGACGATCCGCCATTGTCCGTCGTCAATTACAGGTTCCAAGATAACAATCCCTCTAACTTCCTGGTCGATGAACCGGGTCGACAAATCGCATGTAATCTGCAATGGCGGATTCAGATTCGCATAAAATCGATAACAAACGCGAAAAAGAGAGAGGACAAAGTAGAGAAACAGCAATGGTAGAAGATCTTCAATATTTTACGCAATTAAATGTCCAAGCCACATATTAATTACATATTTACTTGTCAACCATTAAGCATAGCTTAAATTTTGTCTATGGATAGAAATCTAACTATACTCCATCTTCAAGATTCCGCCTATAATTTGAAACCTGCATTCCTGTGCATCTTGTAACCTATAAATCTACAAGACATTCATGGATTGAACTTACTATCAATCAACCATTTTGGAACGTCGCGGTCGCGGTCGTGTGATCGTATACAAGTAGGCTCACTACCGTTGACTAATTGGTAAAGGCCCATGGACCAACAACAGGCACTGGTAAAAGCCCATGGACCAACAACACGCATTGGTGAAGGCCCATGGACCAACGAGAGCAAGGCCCGTTTGCCACATCCAACAATGAGCCGTCTTTCCTATTACGCATCACCGTTAGCCTCATAATTTTAAAACACATCTATTATAGAGAGAATTTCACACCTTTGTAAAGAATGTTTCGTTCCCCTCTCCAACCGATATGGAATCTTACAAGAAAAAAAAAACATATGAATGATTCGATACTACATTTGAAGGAATATTCTATTTCTAGAAAGATCGATTACAATTATAATTTAAAATTCATATAATTCATATAATATATAAAGATTAGTTATATACTCATTTTGTTCCTACCAAACCCTTAATACATAATAAATTCATTTTTTTTTAATATAATCTTTAAGCTAACATGTCGAGAGTGAGTGGTATCCTTTCTTTATCATATTATAAATAACACTGGGCAAGATCCACACTTTTTTCCATCCCGACGTATGATTAAATTTTTCGCTGCTTATTAAAATATATATAATAATTTATCAGTTTGGGCGTGAATATTCTTATTCGAACATTTTATTTAGGTTTCCGACACGAATGTTGACACTAATGTAGTTTAGCTAGCTATAACTTTATATGAAAAGGGTTTGCCTCGTTTAAGAGTCTGAATACGTAATTTAAACAAGAGTATAATGATTCGAAACGATATTAGTAGATAATGTTTGTTTTGACTATTATGTTTATTTAACGTGTTTACTAGGGAGAGGTTTTTACTAGAAATATTTCGTTTCAGATGAATATTAAAAGTCAAAAGAGTTCGGGAATTTAAAATGTATTTTGTGTCAATTTGTAAGAGAAGCACAAACTTGGCCTATCTAACTTCACACATGGAAGCATGGAAGCATGGAAGCATTATTCTTCTTCATTGGCCAAGCCATGGCTACCACACATTCAAAGATTCTCCATTTTAATCATTACACAAAAGATTTTTAATTTTCGGACTCTTTTTGGCTTTTTAGTACTCACCTTCGTAATATCTATAATTAAAATTTTTTATATTTTTTATAAGGGTATGAAAACTTCTGTCTGGTAGACGTGTTGGCGATACGTAACGGGCTAAGACGGACAATATTTGTAATGACCCAAGCTTACATCTAGTAGATATGGACACTAGGTGATGTGATAGAAAGGACGTTGGATCTTAAAAGGGGTGGACTGTGAGGTCTCACATTGATTAGATAGGAGAACGAAAGTATTCTTTATAAGAATGTGGAAATCTCTCCTCCCTAAAAAGACGCGTTTTAAAAACCTTGAAGAAAAGCCTAAAATGGAATGTTTAAAGAAGATAATATCTGTTAGCGGTTGTCTTGAGCTGTTACAAATGGTATCAGAGTCAAACACTAAGCGATGTGTCAGTGAGGACTTTGAACTCACAAAGGGATGGATTGTGAGATTTCACATTGGTTGGAGAGAAGAACAAAACATTCTTATAAGGGTGTGGAAACCTCTCCCAAACAAATGCGTTTTAAAAACCTTTGGGAAAGTTTGAAAGGAAAAACTTGAAGACTATATATGCTATCAGTGGACTTGGACTGTTACATATACAGATGAGAGTAAAGATACAATTTGTATAAATTACGTATAACGAGGCAGACCCTTTTCATACAAAGTTATAGCTAGCTAAACTACATTAACTTATTCCTCCATCAAATCAAACTAGCTAAAGACGTGCGTTCGTGAACCCACACTAAAAATTATGAATCCTAAACGTCACCAAAAAGTTAGTCAAGTCATTATGATACTAAAATTGAAAAACGATACTATTTCTAAAAGAACCCATGATTCCGGTTCCAAATACTTTCATCATCATTTTATTAATACTTTCCTTTTCAAGTTCTTATTTTTGTGTTAAGAATCAATGCAACCAAACATATGATTTAAATTTGAAATAATTAGTGTGATAAGATGTAGACTTCCTCTCAAAAGTCTTCATTGTATTTGAAATGGTGCTCGTCCTTGGCACCAACAACATGAAAAAGTAAGCATTTTTCAGATTGCATATCAATATCCATCTGCATGTTCATGTACTTCAACTCAATAATGGGGTATGAGTTGTGGGTTTGTTGTGCAAGTGCAAGCACTTTTGAGCCACAACAGCCCTCCAATGAGGCCCAAATGTGTATATAGGACATACCTAGTACGACACCGTTACTTCCACGCACCTTTTTCTTTTTTTTCTAAGTTCAATAATTATATGATAGAAGGTAGGTTTGAGATGGTAACTGATGTCTTATCCACCGAGTTATGAATACGATTCATCAAAAGTAATTTGTAACAACCTAAGCTAACCGCTAGTAGATATTGTTCTCTTTTTACTTTCACTCAAGGTTTTTAAAACGTAGACTCTACCATGGGAGTTTTCTACCCACTAATAAAAAATGTTTTGTTCTCCTCTCTAACAAATGTGAGATCTCACAATCCACCCCTCTCGTGGGCCTAGAGTCCTCGGTGTAGTAACAGTCAACCGTTAGCAGATATTATTCTTTTTAGATTTTTAAAATGCATCTTCTAGGAAGAGGTTTCCACACCCTTATAATGAATGTCTTGTTCTACTCTCTAACAAATGTGAGATCTCACAATCCACTCCCCTCAAGGATCTAACGTCCTCGTTGGCACACCGCCCAATCTTTGGCTCTGATATCATTTGTAATAGCAAGCCAACCACTAGCAGATATTGTCCTCTTTGAACTTTCCCTCAAGGTTTATAAAACACGTCTTATAAGGCATGTTTCATTCTATTCTCTAACAAATGTGAGATCTCACAATCCACCTCCCTCAAGGATTCAACGTTCTCGTTGGCACACCGCCCAATGTTTGGCTCGATATCATTTGTAATAGCTCAAGTCAAGCACTAACCGATATTGTTCTCTTTGAATTTTTCCTTTCAGACTTTCTCTCAAAGTTTTTAAAATGTGTATGCTACGGAGAGGTCTCCACACCCTTATAAGAAATATTTTACTTTCCTCTCCAACCAAAGCGAGAGATGTCGAGAAACCTAGGGTTTTAGTTTATAAACCCTTTAAACCACCGAACATCTCGAGATATCGGTGGAAAGATTTTTTATTATCTCGGGATCAATACTATTTAAGACTCAATATGTGCATAATGGTTTTTTTTATCGAACATCGAGAAAGTTTGTTACATTTTAACCACTTTTAAGATGTGACTTTATAATAATTCAATTATCACCGATCAACATTAACTCATTATGGTAATTTGTCACATTCAATATAAAATCACACCCATTAAAAAAATGTGCATTTTATTAAAATACCCATAATGCCCCTATACAGAGAGAGAGAGAGAGAGAGAGAGAGAGAGAGAGAACAAACATAATTGAAATTGAAATATATAATTAATATTTACTTTCTAAAAATTAATAATTCACAAATGACTGAAAGAATAAACAGAAACCAGCTGAGCTTCACAAAAGCTTCGAGCCTGGTTTCATAAAGCCCCTCACATTTAATTCTATTTGCATTATCACCCCAACAAAGTCCTTATTTATACTTTATACACCTATGGCTGTAGAGATGAAACAGAGAAAAACAGAGGAGATTCCGGGGACATAGAAGCACACTCATCCCACAGGTAAAAATCTCCAATTTTTTTTTCCCTTTTTTGTTTTTTTTACCGTGTGTTGTTATAATTTACATCGTCTTTTTACTGTTTCTGCTTCTGTAAATCATTGGAGCTTATGAATGTTCCATGGAAGCCATAAGGAACTCGAGAAGGAAGCTTCACAGTAGCTTCAAGCTCCAAAGTCATGGCGTTAACGATCTGAAGCTCTGATTTCCATTCCTTCTCGTCGTGAACGAACGTTAAGATGTGGCCGTCGTCCTCCGCCTCTGCACCTTCTCTAGGGAGAAACAGAGGCTCGCCGCCGTACCTCTGCTCGCCGTAGAGATACTTTCTGGATTCTCCGGTGAAGAGATCGACCTTCACAAAACCAGAAACTTTCGGCCATGGCTCTGCTAGAGCAACATAAGCGAACTGGGTTTTTCTCCCGAGTCGATTTCGGTTCACCATTCCAGCCTCTAAGTTCACTTGCTCTGTTTCGGCGATGATCGGCCGACGAGTCGATTTGCCGGTGGAGAGATTCAGACGAATTTCCGATAAGATGGAGTTCAAATTCTCTTCACATTCGTTGAAAATGGAGTCCGGCGGCGTCATGCACGACCCAATTACCACAATTTCCTCTGTTTCTGGTTCTTCCCAAGCGTTCCAGAGATGGAAACAGAAGCAATCAGGAACGTCGATCCATTTAATGGCGGTGGCGTCTGTCGCATTTTTGTCCATAACTCCAAATCGGGAGGTTTTTTCTTTGTCATAGATCACCGGAGAACCGCCGCGGATCATCTCCGGCAACTTGAAAACCACCTGCTGGTCGGGAATTATGACGAATTTCTCTGTAATTGCGAAATCGTGCATCATCGTTGGCTGAGGCAGGGGAATTTCAACGTCCGGTGATTTTTCCCCCTCCGGCGAGAATTTGAAGTATTTCAAATATGGCTTTTGGATTACGTCGTAGCTTAAAGCAAACATCTCGCCGGAAACAGGGTCGAGTTTTGGGTGGGCTATCATTGTGGATTTCAATTGGCCGTCGAAATCAAACCGGCCAACGGTTTTCAAATCCCCTGCCGGAGTGACTCTGATTTCGTAAGGCAAATCATCCTC